TCGAACTCACGGACCGCGAGATCGTGACCTGGCTGAAGTCGGACGCTTAACCGACTGCGCCACCCAGGCGCCCCTTAACAGATTGTTTTTAAGCCAGAGAATCAATTCTGTCAATTTCCATGAAACTTAAGAATGAATGAACCAGACCTCTTTTCCCATAACTTAATAAAAGGAAACTGAACTTACATCTTTCAGCTGTATTTCCATTTCATGAATATTACTCATTGATGAGTTGAAGCAGCTTGTGGCCACAGTCTGAAATAAACCAGTATTAGTTAATATCACAAATTTAACAACAGAAATTTCCTCATTATATTTAGTTCTATAATAACACAGTATACTTCACAAGGGCATCCCCAAAATCCAGATCTAGTATATGCTGATGAGCCATCATGCCAGGTCATGAGTACCAGAAGAGAATGAAGATCTGGAAGCTTCCTCAGCACACTGGAAGCCCCGAGATTTCATAACTAATTTGACTTCTTAGGGCCTCTGGATCATTAGAATACCTCAGTGCATATGAATTGCCCAGTGCTTTTCACCAAAATGAGAGAAAACACATAGAAGTGGGCTCTTAGATCAAATCTGGAAAATACTAAATTTTCAAAAGATAAAAGTTGTTTTCTAGAATTATATTTACATTAAAAATATTAATTAGTATTAGTTAAACAGATTTTACGGAACTCAAAACATAATTTCTCTCCTCTTTTTTTTTCATTTTCTTATAGAGGAAAAAAAAGAGGGGAAATAGATGGTTAGGTACCCATGCTAACCAACAAAACTCATAAAAAGCTATATTTCACTCTTTTTAACAGCTTAAGGAAACAGATCTGTGTGAACACTGGCAACAAATCACAAAATATTTTTCTCCAAAGGTACTCTAGATACTCACCCTAGTATGTGGTCCTTCCTCTCTCAATTTAGTCCTCTTGGTAAAAACTAGGACAGAGATAGCTCACCAAATCCCTTTCCATTTTTCCCTGGGCATACCTGGACTTCACATTCAGCCTTCGCTGTGCTTAGTGAGGCCATAAGACTTAATTCTGTCCAATGGAACGTGGACAGAAGTGAAATATGCCAATGCCAGGCCTGGCCCCCAAGCCCTCGCCTGATGCTCCACACAGTCTTTCTAGCTTACATAGCTGTACATAGAGGATCTGGTGGAAGGATGGGGAAGCCACTAGAAGGAAGGAACCTGGATCTGAGTGACCCTGTGGAGTAAGGCCTCCTCCACTCTAACCTGCACTAAATTGTGACATGAGGGAAAAAAAACGAACGCTTATTGTGTCAGACCGTGAGATTTGGAGGTTGTTTGTTATGGCAATAAAACAGTCTGACTAATACAGAAATTAATAGTGGACAGCCTACACAATTACTATAAGAATACATTTTTTAAAAGTTATCGTTTATACCGGGGTCTGTCTTTCCATATTTGAGAGCAGAGAAACTAATTCTTGAGCTTTAAGGAAAAGTATTAGGCAACCACTTTGGATCTGATTATAATTTTCATGAGTTTTAGCTGCATGGAAATTCTCTAGAAAAACTTAACCTCTTTGAATTCACCTGTAAAAATACTCAACTGCCATTCTATGAGAGGGCACATAAAGGTGCATAATTACACATAAATGTATATGTCTGATCACTCTGACTACTCTAAATGGGAGAAAAAGTGCAAAGACCCCAAATAACATTGAGGTATTATATCTGAAAGCAACAGATTTTCTTCTATAGGTGGTATTAATAGTTGTAACATTAGTATTATCCAAGTGTCCAAATTTATTAAAGAATCAAAGATCTGATCAACAAGAAACTATTTACAGAGCACTTTCTATATGCCAGGCACTGTGCTAGGGGATTTAGATATATTATCACACTTACTTTATTTTCTTTTTTAAAAAATTTTTTTTTAATGTTTATTTATTTTTGAGACAGAGAGAGACAGAGCATGAACGGGGGAGGGTCAGAGAGACGGAGACACAGAATCTGAAACAGGCTCCAGGCTCTGAGCTGTCAGCACAGAGCCCGACGGCTCGAACTCACGGACCACGAGATCATGACCTGGGCCGAAGTCGGCCACTTAACCGATTGAGCCACCCAGGCGCCCTTATATTATCACATTTAATCTCCAGTATTCTTTCGCCATTTTAGGACCTCTTTATCTCCTTCACCTATTTTAATCTCCAGTATTCTTATCTTGATTTTACCACTGTGGAAACTGAGGTTAAGGAGAAGGGTCTGGTAAATTCTCTCTAGCACTGCCTCTAAGACTAGAATGGTTACAGTCACACAACTAGCAAGTGGCAGAACCAAAATCTGAACTCAGACCTGCCTACCAACAAAGTCTTGCTCTTTCTGCTACACTAGAAACTTTAAAACAAAAGAGGGGAGCAAAAGCACTTGTAGTTTCAAAAAACATGCTTGATATTATCATTGTATATCTGAAATTTGAAAACAATAACAAAAGGGAGCCTATTGTCTTCATGATACAAACTACAGGAAAAAAAAAAAAAAACAGCCCAAAAAAATCTTCTTGGATGTTGTAAATACACAGTGGATTCTGTATTCCGAATATTCCCTTGTGCAAAACAATGGTCTGGGGAATGGAGGGAGCCATGTTAACTATTTTTGCTTAGGGAGAGGGTATCAGGCTATAAACAAAAAATAACCTGTTGGTATACTATACTGTTTCAACATTTGACAAGTGTGTTTTAACAAACTCATTCTTCACAAGAACTACAAATTGTATCAGAAAGGAAAAAAAAATCTGGATTTAAAGAAATGGCAAGTACCTGTGATAAATGAAGTGTACTGGCTTTGCTCTCAAGTTCAGCAAGCCTTGCAGTTGTAGCAGACAACTGCTTTTTCAATACATCTGTCTCTTCAGACAAGGATTTCAACAGCTGTTCCCTCCTTTCGCCTTCCTTTGTTTTCTCTTCCAGCTGTTCAAGCAATGCGGTACTACTGTATTTGGCTTTCAGCTGCTCTCTGAGGCGCTGTATTTCTTTGTCTTTCTCTGTGAGATGATAAGCATTCTTCTGCCTCTCAGCTTCCAGGACTCGAATTTTCTAGATATAAACTAAGAAGAATCTTAGAACAAAGCCAGGTCAAACATGGAAATAAACAACATCCAACAAGCATTTACAGAGGGTTTATCACACATCAAGTCAGCATCACACTAGACACCAGGGCCAAAAAGAAAATGAAGCCAAGGTCTTGTGCTCAGAGAGCTCCAGAAAGGGAAACCAATACATTAATGCAATATGGTCGGTGCTGTAGTTAAGACACATATAAAATGAATGGGAGAAACCAACTCTGTCAAGGGTGGTAAGAGAAAGCTAACAAAAAGCTGGCTCCCACATGAGTATGTGATAATCACCCCTCCATCATACCAGTTCCAATCATCTTAAAGGCTAAAAGTGAGTCCTAAAAGAGATACATGCTCATTATTGAACTCAAAGCAACATAACCTAAAAATTACAGAAAATTACAGCTGGATAAAAATGCATTCATTAATTTGTTTTTGTTAATAAATGATTTGGTAACAAATCTAAAAGCTGATCTTCAAAGGACTGTTCACATTTCCAAGGATTTAAAAGATAAAGAAGGCACACTTGTTAAGCGGCTGCTGACAGAGGCGGGAAAGCATCTATGGAGAGTCCATAAAAAGTTAACTGACTTTATATGCTAACAAGGTAAAAACAACATAAAACTTCAAACTTGCATGAGGATGAAGGGGAGAAGCAGTTGTTCAAATATAATGGGGAAACTGAGTTAGGTGACCTTGAGAAAATGAAGGGATTTAAGTCGCCTCAAGCTTAAGATAAAGCAGTAGTATGATACAGTTACCAAAACAAAGCCCACATAATTTTAGACTTTTGTAGAAAACAATATCCAAATTAGTAGAAATAATACTGCCATTTCAACCCATGTTTGCCACTGTGCACGATATTGGGTGCATAATTCAGAAGGAATATGAACACGTCACAAAATGTTCAGGAAAGTAACCAGGATGATAAGAAGCTAGAAAAGCTGAAGAAATGGGATTGGTCTACAGAAATGTAAGATGAGGGCTGCCTGGGTGGCTCCCTCAGTTAAGTGTCTGACTCTTGACCTCTGCTCAGGTCATGCTCTCACGGTTTGTGAGTTCGAGCCTTACATCAGGCTCTGTGCTGACAGCTCAGAGCCTGCTTGGGCTTTTCTCTCTCCCTCCGTCTCTCTCTCTCTCTCTCTGTCCCTCCCCCATGTGCACACACGCTCACTCTCTCGCTCGCTCTCTCAAAATAAACTTAAAAATATATATTAAAGAAAAGTAAGAGAAAGCAAGATTTCCTCAAATATCTGAAAAGTTGTCAAATGGATAAAAAAATAGACTTGTTCCATGCAGCTGTAATAGGTACAATTAGAACAAATTGGTAGAAGTTACAGGAAGTGTAATTTCAATTGATTACAAAGGAACAAAGTTTTGACAACCAGTGCTTGTTTAAAGTGGAAAGAGCTGGAAAGCGATCTCTCAGAGAAGCTATTAGATTCCATCACCAGACTGCAAAATAATCTTTGTGTTTAAGAATTGGAGATAGGGACGCCTGGGTGGCTCAGTCAGTTAAGCATCAGACTCTTGATTTCGGCTCAGGTCATGATCTCACGGTTTGTGAGTTCAAAGCCCACTATTAGCACAAGCCTGCTTGGGATTCTCTCTCCCTCTCTCTCTCTCTCTCCCTCTCTCTTTGCCTCTCCCCTGCTCACACTCTGTGTCTCTCTCAAAATAAATAAATAAACTTTAAAAAAAATCGGCGATAGATCATTTCTCAATGCTTCAATAAGTATTTACCTCAATATGTGTTGTTAAAGAAATAAATTATTTGGTTTTAGGTGTGCCTATAAAATAAAATTTAAAGAAATCCAATGATACGATTTAATATAGGTCACTTATTTTCTAACTATGAACAAGGAAATAGCTTTTGCAAAATAAAACTGCTTTATTGACTAGGCCATAACAAACTGTAAATTAGAGAATCTGAAATATAGTTTAACAGAATGCAAAATGCCAATATATGTAATGATTTTATCTCAAATATCTGAAAACAAGGATTATTTGGAAAGCAACCAATATATATGATAAAATGAGTTTTTAAGCATTCACATTAAAATTTGAACTCCATTAAACACTTTGAAATTACTAGTTTTGATTTTTTACATTTAGTGAATGAACAGAATAACCAAATTACATAATTACTGGGAGAATACTTTCTCATCTCCTACAGTAAGGCTTATTATACTTTAAAAAGGTTTATGCGGCACCTGGGTGACTCAGTCGGTTAAACGTCTGACTTTGGCTCAGGTCATGATCTCGAGGCTTGTGAGTTCGAGCCCGGCGTTGGGCTCTGTGCTGACAACTCAGAGCCTGGAGCCTGCTTCGATTCTGTGTCTCCTCCTCTCTGCCCCTCCCCGCTTGTGCTCTGTCTCTGTCTCTCAATCATAAATAAACGTTTAAAAAATTAAAAAAAAAAAAAAAAGGTTTATAAGGCCACTCACCTCCAAAAGTCTGTGTTTGTCTTTATCAGTCAGCTTTCCTTTTCCACTTGTGATTTCATCCACGGATGTTTTTAAGGCTGCAATTTCTCCCCTAAATTTTTCTAATGCAGTTTCTGATTTGGAGTTACTAGGCTTCGATCCCCATTTACCTTTAATTAAACTTTTGGGACTTCTGGAAGACATCTCTGAAACTGTAAAAATAAAAATACAATTATACTTTATTAGTCTAAGTTTGAAAGGCTTGGAAAGGTAATAACCTATTTGCTAAATAGAAGAACATTTCTATCTCAATAGAAGAGATACAGCCAAACCAAGGGACTGGGAAAGGCTTCTGGCTTTCTGGTAACAATACCGATTCTTTAATCTGGGTGGTGGATACATGGGGAGAATTCACCTTTTAAAAATATGTCAACTTACCTTGATGCTCACTGAGTAATGTACAGAATTGTTGAAACACTACATTATACACCTGAAACTAAATAGCACTATATGTTAACCATACTGGTATTAAAATAAAAACGTTAAAAAACATGGACACATGTTTGGTGCAGGATTCTGTATGTGTCATACTTCAATGAAAAAGTTTCATCTAAAAGAAAAAGGATCAATGATTAAACCATCAAATGAAGTCTGAATGAAACAGATCACAATCAAAGACATTTTACCCAGGAATAAAAAGCTAGTGATAAGTATATAATTCTGAGCACACAGGCATTGAAATATCATTACCTGACATAATGATATGTCCTGTTTTAGAAGATAGGCCTAGTTCAGATCTACGTAGTCAGTTGAGAGAGTACAGTGGGGCAGAAGTGAGGAGAATCTAAGATCAGACATTTCTAGGAAAAAGAGGCACAATATTCAAGAATTAAGAACAGTGGCCAAATTGAGTAAGAAACTTAGAATCTGCTAACAGTATCTGGTAACAGTGTAGAAGAAATGTATAATATTAACTCTAGGAGCAAAATAGTGAAAGATACTGCGCATATAATAAAAGTAGCTTTAATTAGGGAGATTAAAAAGCATTTTTCTACATTATGGATCCCAAGATAAAAATAGTGGTGGTGACTAAGGTAAATTAGAGGGATGTGTGACCATTCATGCATTTAAAAAATACTGGAAAACCTAATTTACCAGGCAACATCATAGGTGCTGGGTATAAATGGGCAAAAAAAAAAAAAAAAAAAAAAAAAAAAAAAAAAAAAAAAAAAAAAAAAAAAAAAAAAAAAAAAGAAAAAAAAGAAAGAAAGAAAGAAAGAAAAGACAAAGAAACGAGAAAAAGAGACATGTTCCCTTACATAATGGAACTTTCAATCTAGTAAAGGAGGCAAGGACACAATATAGATTCTCAAGTTGTAAAGTCGATGTTCTATAGGAATAAATGATTCTGGTAAAAAAACAGGGGAGACCTACTCGGTTAAGGTGACGGGGAAGGCCTGCCTGTGGAAGTGACTTTTACGGTCATCCTGTATGAAATCAGTCTGAAAACACCAGAGCTGTGAAAACTGAGTGGAACAGACCATCTAGCGAAAGGTTAGTCCTGGATTTTTGCCCACTCTAAGGTGAAAGGCTGAGGTAACTAGTAAACCGATTAAGACCAATGCAAGGTTATGGCATCTTGAGAACCTGCCGCCACAGGAAGTTCTTTCCTACATGCTTCTGTTAGTAACACATGGTTGACTTGCTATAATGGGTTGATATGACAGAAAACTACTTTTCACCCAAGTCACTGAAACACAGAATGGTGGAACTACATGGATCAGTAGAACGGGAAGGAACCTATGGACGTTCGCTTCCTGACCTCTGGACAGAACTTTGGTCACAAATGTCTATTGTTTCTAGCTTCTGGACTAGATAGACCCTGCTGGGATCTCCCAGCTCCCCACCATTTAGTCCTCCCAACCTCCTTTCCCTGTTGTTGTTTTTTTCTACTCCCATCAGGCCAATACTCACAGAGTTCACACTGTTCAAACTTTATCTGGCCCTGCTGCATCTTCTCCAGGATGCCTTCCCTCTGTATAAGCTACATTGGTCACAGGATACAATCTGGTACTCGATTGTTTACTCCCACCCTACACCCACTTCTTAAATTTGTTCAGCAGTTGTTTCAGGGGCTGAACCTTGAATTATTTTTGTCACTCACAGAATCTAACAGCCACTGTTCAATAAATATTTATTGACTGGCTGAAGTGATCTAAGGCATCCTGGACAGGAGATGGCCAAAGAAATCTTGCAACCCAACAACCTGCTCGGGCTCCAAGTGGAGGCGAATCTTACAAAAACCCTCACATAAGATCTACGTGGGGATGGGGCGCCTGGGTGGCGCAGTCGGTTAAGCGTCCGACTTCAGCCAGGTCACGATCTCGCGGTCCGTGAGTTCGAGCCCCGCGTCAGGCTCTGGGCTGATGGCTCAGAGCCTGGAGCCTGTTTCCGATTCTGTGTCTCCCTCTCTCTCTGCCCCTCCTCCGTTCATGCTCTGTCTCTCTCTGTCCCAAAAATAAATAAACGTTGAAAAAAAAATTAAA